CTTTCCCTCTCTGGTCAAATTAAAATAAATAAATAAGTTAAATAATTCTTTAAAAAAATGCATTATGTCTTTCCTGACAACCCAATATTTTTAAAAGACTTAAGCAAATTTAATATAGAAGAGGAATTCTGACCTCATATAATTCTATTTTTGTCTTCCTATACAGTGAAAATAATATAAAATAAATCCTTGGATTGTAATGATGTCAAAGTGAAGGTGACATCATTAGAAAACACATTATTTTCTCACAACCCAAAAAAGGATACCTTACCAGTAAAAGTTATTCCACTTCTAAACTTTTTTTTTTGCTTTTTAAGGTTTTTGCCTTAGGGTATGTGTGCTCGCTGAATAGGAGAGAGACAAAAAGTGAGAGGGAAAGTGAGAAATTACCTCCTGGGGAGATGGCCATGCCACAGTCCCTTCTCTGTTCTCTTCCTGGGCTCTTGGGCACGCATGCACATGCACCTGGCATGATTTTAAAGCCACGGGGTCCGGGACTCAAACCGTGGTCGACTACATCGGAGTCCAGCGACATAGCCATTACGCTAACTGCTGGTCCCAAGATAGTTACATCATTATTTTAATATGATGCTTTTTTTGTGAATCTAATGAGACCCCACCAATGAATTTCTGAGTGTTTTTCAGATTTCTGGTATTATAAATCACATCACATAAATATAGTATGTACTTTTTAAAATTAGAGGGAGTGAGAGAGAGACGACGAGAAAGGGAGGGAGAGGGAAGCATTTTCTTTTTTTCTTTTTTTTTTTTGGAGAGGTTTTTGCTATAGAGCATGTGTGCTCGCCAGACAGAGAGAGAGAGATAGAGAGCGAGAAATCAACCCCCAGGGGGAATGGCCACACGCAATCCCTTCTCCTCCTTTCTCCTCTTGGGATCTTGGGCATGCATGCACACGCACCCGGCGTGAGTTTAAGCCACCGAGTCCAGGACGTGAACTGCGGTCGACTAGATGGGAGTCCAGCGACATAGCCATTGCGCTAAATGCTGGTCCCGAGGGAAGCATTTTCTACAGGACCTTGCCCTGCTGTGATCCTCTTGCCTCAGGCGCCCAGTTAGCTAGGACTATAGGCATTGACCTGTCCCAGGTTGGTCCTGGACCCAAACTTAGGCTGCCCTGGAAGCCACAACCTTGCACGGCATCGCCTTATCACTTGTGTCACCATTGCTGGGCCGATCCATACATTTTTGAAAACTTTCAAAAGACCAAATTTTAAGTACACAATATATAACAAGACCCATATCGTTTTTGTTTTTGTTTTTGTTTTTTAAGCCATAGGGCACCTGCTCCAACTAGAAAGCGACAGGGTAGGTGGGGGGAGTGAGAATGCCCTGGGGGGGGTATGACCTCTCTGCAATTCCTTCTCTGTTCTCAGGATTTTGAGCACGCATGCACATGCATCTGGTGTGTTTTTCAAGCTGCCAGCTCCAGGATGCTGAGCAGTCAGCCGTGTGGGATCCAGCCACCTTAACCACCACACCACACCACTGGCTGGCCCAGCCAACTTCCATACCTTGTATGCACATTGAAAGGAATACCCCTCCAAGGAATTTCCCTCCAAGGTTGCTTTAGGCATGACCTTTCCCATCTTTATCGGCAACTTTATCTTTCCATTTGCTCTTTCTCTCATACCTGTAGCCAATTAATCAGCAAATCAGGGTGTATTTCTTGCAAATACACCCAGAATCTGATCATTTCTCATTACCTTCACTGCTCTCACATTGGCCTGTGCTACCATCCACTTTTTCCTAGATTATTGCAGAGGCTCCTAAATAGGGTTGCCAGATTCAGCAAATAGAAATACAGAATAACATTTTTTTTTAGTATGAGTATGTCCTCAGATACTGCATTTACCATGCGGCTGCCAGAGGGATTCCTTTATAACAAGTCAAAGTCAGTCACTCCTCTATTTAAAATTCTGTGATGTCTTTTCATTTCAAAGCCAAGGACTCCAAAATGAGGCTCACAGCTCAGCAGGATCTGTTACCAGGAGCCCTGTTCTCATCGGTCTTACCATCTTCCCCTTCCCTCTGCCTGTGTCTCTCTTCTCCCAGACGCTATCTGACCTCATTTAGGCCCTTGCTCAGACTTCTCAGACTGTCCCTAATTCCCTTATTTAAAATTGTTCTCTTCTCCTCTCCTTCCCTACTTTATATTTCTCTGCGAGACCACTTTTTTTTTTTTTTTTTTTTTTTTTTTTTTAAGATTTTTGCCATAGGGCACATGCACTTGCCAAAGAGAGAAGAGAGAGCATGGGACCATGAGAGGGAAAATGAGAAAACATCCCCCAGTGGAGATAGCTACTCCACAATCCCTTCTCCTCTATTTTTTCTGGAAGTTTGGACATACACACACATACATTGGGTGTGAGTTTCAAGCCACCGGGTTGGGACTTGAATTGCGGTGCACCATGTGGGAGTCCAGCGCCTTAAGCACCTTGCTACCTGCTGGCCCTGAAAGAATATATATATTTTTAATTTTTAAAATTTTTATTATTATTTTTTGGAGAGGTTTTTTTTCTACAGGGCACGTGCGCTCGTCAGTAAGACAGAGAGAGACAGAGAGATAGAAAGCGAGAAATCACCCCCCAGTGGGGATGGCCATGCCGCAGCCGCAACCCCTTCTCCTCTCGGGGTCTTGGGCACACAAGCACACACGCCCGGCGTGAGTTTAAGCCACTGGATCTGGGACTTGAACCGCTGTTGACTACATAGGAATCCAGAGACACAGCCATTATGCTAACTGCTGGTCCCTGTAGCATTTTTAACATTTATTAATAGTTTGCCTTTCTCTTTCCTAGAATTTAAGTTCCAGGAGAGTGTGTTTATTCTTTTTTGTTCACTGGTGCATCCCCTTAGAATAATGCCTAGCAAATGACAGATGTTCAGTAAATATTTAACAAACATTGAAATAACGTATGTAGTTACACAAATGAGTAAGTAGTTTTCGTTTCTGTTTCACTTGGGTTTCGTTCACATTTCTGATCTTGTTACCTGTGTCAAAGTTATCATGTAACTGCTGCAGTCTTGGCGAAGGCGTTTTCTGTCATTGCGTTATGGTAACATTTATTAAGCACTTGCGTGCAGACACGATTCTAAGGCATCATCATCATCATCATCATAAAAGGAACAAGTATTTTAAAAGCTATTTACCAGATGGGACGATTAGGATATGGAGAGGTGAATAATTTGCTCAAGGTCATGTACGTGGGATGTGGCCGAGTTGCCTACAGAACCTGCATCCTCTGCATCCTATTGCACTCTGGAGGCTCTCTTTTAGCTCGTTCTGTTTCCTTTTTGGTGGTTAACTTGTTTTGGTTAAGCCATCAGTGAAAAAGCTCTTCAGGATCAAAGTCAAAACCTATTAGAGGCCCGGTGCTTTATTTCTCAGTCAAGCACCGGCACTTTGCATTTGAATCCTGGACGGCGGGAAGCAGCAGGCAGGTGTCAGGAGCCGGGGGAGGAGACGCACCCCAGCCAATCAGAGCGGGCAGAGGGCTCCCCTCCCCCTCGGGTCCACGCGCCAAAATTCCAAACAGGACTGCGCACCGCTCTCGCCGTGTCCCTCCGCCGAGCGCGCGAGCCGGAACTATCCCGGAGAGAGAGAAGTCAGCGTTCTCCTCCCGCTCTCCGCTCAGGCCCTCCACGCTGTGGGCGTGTGTTTCCCTCCCGTTAGCCCGGCCCCCGTCGCTCCGCAGAGGGGAGGAGAGCGCGAGCCCGCCGTGCCGGGGTGGCGGCCCGCCGCTGACGCCCGGACTTACAGGGAGGTGCGATGGTGGTGCTCCGCAGCAGCTTGGAGCTGCACAGCCCCTCCGCCGCCTCGGCCATGGACTCCCTGGACCTGTCCAACGACTTCCTCAGCTTGGAGCACATCGGCCGGAGACGGCTCCGCTCGGCTGCCGCCGCGGAGAAATCCGCCGTCACCGCGGCCGCTACGGGCGTGAGTACTGGTCAGGGCGGGCCCCCTCGGGCCGTGCTGCTGGGGCTGCCCGCGGCCGGGTTCCAGCAGGGACGGGAGTGGGCGGCGCAGGTCGGGGTGACAGTTGGTGTGTTGGGGGAAGAGTGAGGTCGACAAGTAAGAGGGAAGGCTTCTGGGGATCGGAGCCCCACGGCGTGTGGGTCGGGTCGCGGAGAGTGAGCTGTCTGGAAGAGGGTTGAGCAGTTGGCTACACCTCCTTTTACGCAAGAGGAAACCGAGGCCCGCCAGAGCCGAAGTGCAGTTCGGGGCCGAGCGGTGGTTTGGGCTGCCCCGCCCCCGCCCCCTTGACCAATCGCCCAGCCTCCTGCCCCGGGTTCGCAGCCGCCGGTGGAGTGCAGCAGACATTTCCTGACTGCTGACTGTATGCAGAACACACGGTTTAGGGGCTACAGGCATAGGCAGATTGAAACTCAGGTTCCCCGACCTCCATTTATGATCCAGAGGGGTTCCGCAATAACGCAGTGAGTGATACCAGGTTGCATAATGGGGAGGGACGAAGACCAACGTTGCATGTGCTCTCCCTTCACTTAAGCCTCCTAACAAGCCTTTCGGAATGCATAATTACGATGTCGGTTTGGCCTATGAAGCAACGGAGTGAAGAAGGTAACCAGTTAGTGGTAGATCTAAAATTGGAACTTAGCTTCTCTGTCTCCCAGTTTTTTCCCTGTCTATTGTATCACGCTGCAGTTACAGTGTCTGTAAGGGAAGGTTAGCACCGTGGTAGAAGCCTCTTGAAAGGAGTGATTCTCTTCTTGGGTCTGAAGTATAAATAGGATTTTTCATGGGCAGAGTTAAGCCCGAGGGAAGAGTACCTGGCCCTCTCCACCACCACCCGGCCTTAGCAGCTGAAAGAGGTGTAGGTAGAGGGGACACCATTCACCAAAGAGGAGAAGTTGGAGGAATCAACACAAGTAAAGTGAGGGTGGGCATGAGAGTAGGAAAAATCAGACCAGAGGGAGGATTGAGAACTTGGAAGTCAGAGAAGAGGCCAAGGGGAAGTGTGTGATGGGAGTGACAAAACAGTCCTGCTTAGTTCACGCAGACTATTTCAGGATCTTGTATTAAGATCCTAAATTAGTTGTATTAAATTTAGTTGTATCTCTGTGGATGCCCCATACTGGTTGCTCCTCTACCATGAGGAATGTATTAAGAAACCATAGACCTTGCATTCTGTGAAATTGCAATTCTTAATTAAAAAGAGAAATAATTTGACTGTCAGCTTTTGTTTCTCAGTCACTTGCAGGAATTGGCACAGACGGGAAGGCCAAACTCTTCCGCGTTGAACTTGAGTTACTTGACTTATTATAAACTTGTGTTCAGAAAAGCTGGTTATTTCAGTCAGTACTTATTGGATGTTTATTATGTCCAGGATAATGCTATTGATAGATCCTGTGACCATCATGATGTACCAAATTCTGGTCATGTACCTAGCTCCTTGGACAGCTATTTTTAACCTCAGCTTACCAAGCTTACCAATAATCACCAGGTTACTTGTAAAATGGGTGATATCCACCACATGGGTAGTGAGGATTAAATGTAATCATGCATGTAAAGGGATTAACTGAACACTTGGCCTATAGTTAGGTCTAAGTCATTGTCAGCTATTAAGACCATAGTCAGTTCTAGTTAATGGCCACTTCATCCTTCCAGTTCCTCTGTATAAATCTTAAAGTCATCCTGACTCTTGTCATAACCAATGTATCAGCAAATTCTGTTGGCTCTATATTTACATTGTACTGTTGTACCACTTAGGCCCTCCACGCTAGTCCAAGCCATTATCTGGTCCCTAGATTATTAAAATAGGACATTGACTAGAGTACCACTTTTCCACTACTGTATGTATTATGCTTTCCCCTTCCCAAACAGTCAGTTCTCAATAGTGTTCTTGTAAAAAATCAAAACATTTGGTCATTCCTCTGCTCAGAAACTTTCTAGGGACTCTCTATCTACGATTAAAACTTTAAAAGTTTGGGAGCAGGGCCCAGCCAGGTGACTCAGTTGGTAGCAAGCAACTCCAGTGCTGAAAGCCACGTGCCAGCTCTGGGTTCAGATCCTCAGGTCAGCCTGAAAACATGCTGGACATGACAGAGATTCTGATAAACAGGACAGGGGAAAGGGGATTGTGGGATGATGAGATTCCGTTCAGGGTACTTACCCCATCCCTCTCATGTGCATTTGTGAACTCTGTCATGAATGAAATAAACTTTAAAAGTTGGGGAGCAGCCCTATGCCCTTTTGCCTTCTTCCCTTTATGCAGACATTCCTCCCCTGCCCCTTTACAAAGTCTCCTGTATTCCAAACATGCTGGCCTAGTTGCTCCTTGAACACTAGGGTCTTTTCACTTCTCCTCTATTGGGATTGCTGAATACCTGCATAACCCATTCCTTGACCTCCCTTACATTTATTTTTTCTTCTTTTTTAATGTTAGTGGGCACAAGAGGAAGTGAACGAGAGAGAGAATCCCCCAGTGGGCCTTGGTCATACTGCAAATCCTTTTTCCTCCATCCCATCAGAATCTCGGGCACACGTGCATACACGTGCCTGCTCTGGTTTTTAGGCTGCCAGGAGCTGAGATGTGAACTGTGGTGGGCCATGTGGGATACAGCTTCCTCCATACAGTGCTTCACCACTGCACAAGGAGCCAGTCCGGTGTCCTTTTACACATTTTACACTAGAAAAAAGAACTTCAAAATTCATATTGCTTAATGTGTTCCAAGAATTCTATAAATAACTCAAACTTCATAATCTTTGTCCTGCAGATGAGAAAACAGAGGCACAGGGAACATAAATAATTTGCCCAAATTGACCGTGTAGTAAGCTGTATAACTGTGATTCAAATTTAGGAGTCTATCTCCAAGTTTTTGCTGAAATTTCATCTTTTCAATGATGCTTACCCTGAACACCCTATTTAAAATTAAATTACAGACCACCCCCCCTTGACATACACATTTTTTTCTGTTTTTTGTTCTCCAAGTTCCTATCACCTTGTAATACATTGTCATTCCTTAATTTTTAAGTTTTTTCTCTTAAATGAGAATATAACTCCATAGGGACTATGTTTCTGATGTTGTTCTATATTTCCGGGGCTTACAATAGAACCTAATAAGATAGTAGATGTGTAGTAAATATTTTTGTTTATCGTCTTTGCTCTAACAGAACCTAGTCTAACAAAGACCTAACAGCAGTATACAGTCTATTTGTACATAAACACTGTTTTTTTAAAAATAATTGTTTATTTAATTTCGTTTATTCATTTATTTTAATTTTATCAGAGATAAACAGAGAAAGAGAGAAAGCAAGCCACCAGGTCCAGGATTCGAACCATGGTCAGCCATGTGGGAGTGTCCAGCACCATAACCACCATGCCACCTGCTGGTTCCCATAAACACTGTTTTAGTTGTATATATTGTAGTTGAGCAGTGAGCACACACTGACTGGGGCCAGGTGGCATTATGGTTAAGGCACTGGATGCCCACATGGTTGACCGTTTGAATCCTGGATCTGGCAGTTTGAAAATCATACTAGGTGCGCATGCATGAGCACTCAAAATCCCACTGGGAGAATGGAGGAGAAGGAATTGTGGAGTGGCTAACACTCCTTGGGGGTAGTTTGTCATTTTTCTTCTCTCTGGTGAGCATAGGAGCCCTATGGCAAAAACCTTAAAACACACACACACACACAGAGAGAAAAAAAGAGAAAAAAAAAAAAAAGAATGCACTCAGTTTGTAGGGATTATTTTCTTTCCAGACCTGGGTTTCCAGTAGGGATTATACCCTTTTTTTTTTTTTTTTCCCTAACCAACTGAGTTTTATTGTTGTATAAATCACCTAACATTTTTCAGGTGAAAAAATACTAAATCTGAATAAAGTATTACAAAATGAATTTGAGCCCAATAAAAATTAGCTTTGGGGAGGGGGTACAAGGGAATACAATTATACTCAATTAAGGCAAACATTTTTATAGACCACAGATTAGTTTATTTTCAACACCCATCATGCCATGAATTCATAGGGAATAGGTTCCAGTAGCTCGGGCTTCTTTCCGTTGCTTCTCACAAAGTGTGCTTCTCTGGGTGGAACAGGCTGGTGCTTCAGTTGAACCCAGGTACCTTTCTCTTTGGCTTCCTTCTTTTTCTGATCATTTTCCTTCACACATTTTAGGAAGCTCTCTCTGCTCTTAGAATGCTTAATATGCACGTTAATTCCCTTGGCAAGAATCTTGCCCTTAACTTGTTTGTTCACAACAATACCAACAGCATGCTGGGTAACATTGTAGACTCTTCCAGTTTTGCCATGGTAACATTTGTGGGGCATTCCTTTTTGAAGAGTACCTATCCCCTTGATGTCTACAGTATCACCTTTCTTGTAGATTCGCATCTATGTTGCCAAAGGAACAACTCCATTTTTTCTAAAAGTCCTAGAGAACATTTATCGGGTGTCT